CCTACCATCACAGCATTCCCCCCCACTACTTTTGCACTATCTCAGCAGCACATGCAGTAGTCTGGATCACAGCAGCGCCCTGCTTTGCAATCTTCAAAGGGTTTTACTCTTTGCCTTTTGCACGTCCTGGAAAGCTCAGCTTTGTCTAATATTTTGTAAGCACGTTAATATTTAGTCAGCGTTTGACTCTAGTTGTAGTGGGGAAACTGGCAGACAAGCAGGACTCGCAGGGTGATCTGAGATCTGCCAGGCTGCGGCTGTGCTGCCCGCCAGCTGCCTCATTTTGGCTGTCCCGATGTCACCCGGTGAGCAAATCGCCCCGATCTCGTCTTGCACTAAATATGCAACAGAAAATAACCCCTGAAACTGGAAGGTGTTCAGGTACCATAGTGACAGGCACAGTTTGAGAACACAGAAGAGAAAACAGTCTTGCTTAAGGGCTTCAATTAGCTTCCAACTAAGATGATTACAACATTTCCTAGGGGGGAAGGAATCCTTCAAAGAGAATCAAATCAAAACACCCAGCTGCATGGATGTCCTGGCTACGAACCGTGTCTGACGCCTTCGGCGCAGGGCTCCGCTCCCTGGCCACCCCAGCAGCACCTTCTCCGGCACAGGGGAAGCGCGGTGCAATTCGCCCTCGCAGCGCGGCTCCCCGGTGAGACCACTGCCTTGTCCTGCCTGGTCTCTGCCGAGGGACGCTGCCTCGGCCAAGGGACGGGGCTCTGCTCTCTCAAAGCGAACAGCATTTTCTTCCCGCTGCATTTTTTTTCCACGTCACTTCATGCATCTTAGAAACTTCTTGGAGGCCTCCAGCATTTTCACTCAATGTTTTGCAGGGAGGAACGCAAAGAACGAAGGGCTGGGAGGCCCGCATAACAAATGTGCTTCGTCACAGGCGCTGCCGCTTGGGACCGGAGCCCACCCTGCTGCCGTGACCACGCGGACAACTCCCTCGGCCCAGAGCCACAGCACAACAGCCTACACCGCCTAAAACTGAATCACTATTTAAAAGGATTATTAACTTCCAGCTGCGTTCAGCCTAATTTCCTTTGTGCAACAGTGTGTTCAATTGCAGAGATTCTAATTTACTGTTGCAGAGCACAGGCCCAGCTCTACGGATAAATTAAAATGACAGCTCCATGGGAAGTTCGGAATTTAACTTTCTGACTTATCTGATTTGATGCAGATACAAATATTTAAATCCAGCCAAGGAAACAAACAGCCTGTTTCTAAGAAGTTCCAGCTGGAATGGGCAAAAAGGGTTTTGTAAGAAGAGAGGCTGCAACAATTAGTGCACTGTCATACTCCTCGCGGGCACAGATCCTCAGCTAAGCAGAGCTCCCGGGCTGGCACGCTGCGCTCCTCTGCAAGACTCCTTCGGGTTTGGCTTCTTCGTGGTTTTTTCCCCTTTAGTGAAAAACTACTTTGCTGTATTGAGAGTAAGAGGTTTTACTTTTAAATCTCCTTTGTACAATTCCCCTGTTCTCTCTTCGAGGCAGAGAGGTAAGCACCAAGCCTGTCGAGTGAAACACACTGTGGCTGGTGCGTGATTTGCTGCCAAGAAGGCAACGTTTCTTTCATTTTTTTCTTGTAATCATGACCGACTCTCTGCTCCTGTCTTCAGATCAGGCTGGGATTCATCTCATCCCCCCTTAGCTGGTAAAAGGCGTCCCAGCCCAGTCTGCAGTCCCACCTATGCTCTCCATAAGCCCTGGGGAGAGGTGACCGTCACCTGCAGACGGTTCATCCCATCCCCACACTGATGCACGTTCTTTTTGTTAAGATAGATCAAAGCTAAATCCAAACTGAATATAAAAAACTTTTTAAAAAAAGATTAATTTTTAATTTTGAACTCTGAAAATTCAAATCAGATTTCTAATAATCTGTTTTTTTTCAGGCAAATAAACAGTGCGCTCGAATCATTAGTGCAACCGCATCCTGTGACTCAGGTGCAGACCCACGGCGAAGCCACTGCCAAGGTAAACACCCTGCTTGTTTTGGGGATACTCCCTGCCACTTGCGAACCGGAGCGAGCAGCTGCCAGAGAAGCTCTCACGGCCCCGCGAGAGGAGGAGAAGACGAGGTGCTGTGAGCAGCGGATGCTGCGCCAGTGAGGAGGTTACACAACCGGCACTGCCAAGCCGTGGCGGGGCAGCAAGCTGGCCCCGCTGCCGGTGCTGGGTCACCGTCCTGCCACGCCAGAGCTGGCACTGCCATGTGCTCGCCACACACGTGGAGGTGGACGCTCACACGGGAGCTCCTGGCCAGAGGAGAGGGCAGGCGGCTGGGACGGGCACAAGGTCACCGTGACCTTTGCTACCATGGCAGACGAGCACCCAGCCGCAGGCCGGCTGACCGGCCTTCTTCGCCCCCTCCCTTCTGCCAGCACCAGTCCAGCGCGGACGGACGAACAGACAGACACAGCAGCGCACGGGCTGTCCCTGACCCAGCGCTGTGGCCACCCTCGAGCCACCACAGGTGACGAGACAGCTCTCCTTTGCAGCACTC